CCTCTTTCTCTCTTTCTTTCCTTTCTCCCTTCCTTCTCTTCTTCCTTCCTTCCTTCCTTCCTTCCTTCCCCTTCCCCCTCTCTCTTTCTTTCCATTTTTCTTCCTTCTTTCATTCATTCCTTCCTTCTCCTTTCGTTTCCTTTCTCTCTCTCTCTCTCCCTCCCTCTGTCTCTCTTTCTTTCCTTTCTCCCTTCCTTCTCTTCTTCCTTCCTTCCTTCCCCTTTCATTTCATTCTCCCTCTCTTTCTTTCCATTCTTCCTTCCTTCCTTCTTTCATTCCTTCCTTCTCCTTTCCTTTCCCTTTCTCTCTCTCTCTCTCTCTTTCTTTTTTTCCTATCTGCCTGCCTTCTCTTCTTCCTTCCTCCCTTCCTCCTCCTTTCCTTTCATTCCCCCCTCTCTCTCCCTTTCTCTCCTTCTTTCCTTTCTCCCTTCCTTCTCTTCTTCCTTCTCTTCTCCCTTCCTTCCTTCCTTCCTTCCTTCCTTCCTTCCTTCCTTCCTTCCTTCCTTCCTTCCTTCCTTCCCCTTTCCTTTCATTCCCCCTCTCTCTTTCTTTCCATTCTTTCTTTCATTCCTTCCTTTTCCTTTCATTTCCCTTTCTCTTTCTCTCTCCCTTTCTTTCCATTCTTCCTTCCTTCTTTCATTCATTCATTCTCTTTTCCTTTCATTCCCCCTTCTCTCTCTCTTTTCTTTCTCCCTTCCTTATCTTCTTCCTTCCTTCCTCTTTTCTTTCATTCCCCTTCTTTCCCTCTTTCTTTTCTCCCTTCATTCGTTCCTTTCATTCCCATTTCTCTCTCTCTCTCCTTCCTTCCTTCCTTCCTTCTTTCCCCTTTCTTTTCATTCCCTTTCTTCCTCTCTCTTTCTTGCCTTTCTGCCTTCCTTCCTTCATTCTCTTTTCCTTTCATTCCCCCTTCTCCCTCTCTCTTTCCTTTCTCCCTTCCTTTTCTTCTTCCATCCTTCCTCTTTTCTTTCATTCCCCTTCTTCTCTCTCTTTTCCTTCCTCCTTTTTCCTTTCCTTGCCCTTTCTCTCTCTTTCTCTCTCTCTTTCCTTCCTTCCTTCCCCTTTCTTTTCATTCCCTTTCTTCCTCTCTCTTTCTTGCCTTTCTACCTTCCTTCCTTCCTTCTTTCCTTCTCTTTTCCTTTCCTTCCCCTTTCTCTCTCTCCCTCTCTTTTCTTTCCCCCTTCCTTCTCTTCTTTCAACCTCCTTCCCAGCACCCAGTGTTCATCAGCAAACTGGGTGCCGTGCCAAAAGATCTCAGCTGAAGACAATTTGGACAGAAAAACAAGAAAACTCATGACTATTCATAATTCATGACCTCCTCGCTTTGATGTTGACCTGCTCTATCTGTCTAGAACGTCTGGTGGCAGAGGACTTTTGCAAGTCAACAAGCAGTCGAAGAAGAACAACACGATGCCCTGGCAGAAGATGTCAAGGAAAGCCAAGAACCTGCTTTGAATGAAGTCAATAATTAGACACTTCTCAAAGCACAACAGACAAAGAGTCAGTACAAGAAAACTGCACCCCAAACCAGAGCTGACAGCTAGCACAGCAAAGCCACCCACTGGGTGCCATGCCGAAAGATCTCAGCTGGAATTTGGAAACAATAAACATTGACAAAATCACGACCTGTCAACTGCAAAAGACCACCTGACTTGGTGGGACAGAAAGAGGGGAAAAGGAGGGAAGGAGAGAAGGAAGGAAATAAAGAAGGGTAGAGAAGGAAGGAAGGAGAGAAGGAGGGAGAGAAATAGGGAAAGAAGGAGGGAAGGAGAGAAAGAAAGAAAGAAAGAAAGAAAGAAAGAAAGAAAGAAAGAAAGAAAGAAAGAAAAGGGTAGAGAAGGAAGGAAGGAGAGAAGGTGGGAGAGAAAGAGGGGGAAAGGAGGGAAGGAGAGAAGGAAGGAATGAAGGAAGGGTAGAGAAGGAAGGAAGGAAGGAAAGAAGGTGGGATAGAAAGAGGGAAAGAAGGAGGGAAGGAGAGAAAGAAGGAAAGGAAGAAAGATAGAGAAGGAAGGAGAGAAGGTGGGACAGAAAGAGGGAAAAAGGAGGGAAGGAGGGAAGGAAGGAAATAAAGAAGGGTAGAGAAGGAAGGAAGGGTAGAGAAGGTGGGAGAGAAAGAGGGAAAAAGGAGGGAAGGAGAGAAGGAAGGAAGGAAAGAAGGGTAGAGAAGGAAGGAAGGAGAGAAGGAGGGAGAGAAAGAGGGAAAGAAGGAGGGAAGGAGAGAAAGAAGGAAAGAAAGAAAAATAGAGAAGGAAGGAGAGAAGGTGGGACAGAAAGAGGGAAAAAGGAAGAGAAGGAAGGAAAAAAGAAGGGAGAGGAGGGAAGGAAGGAAGGAAGGAAGGAAGGAAGGAAGGAAGGAAGGAGGAAAGGAAGGAAGGAAGGAAGGAAGGAAGGAAGGAAGGAAGGAAGGAAAGAAGGAAAGAGAGAAGGAAGGAGAGAAAGTGGGAAAGAAGGAGGGAAGGAGAGAAGGAAAGAAAGAAGGAAGGAAGGAGAGAAGGAAATAAAAAAGTGAAAGAGGGAAGGGAGGGAGGGAAGGAGGAAAGATCGCATCATTCAGAAATACATCTCACAGTCCTAGACGCTTGGGAATTGTCTGACTTGTGATTTCTTGATACAAAATCCAGCAGAGAGATCTCGTTTGCTGTGACATGCTGTGCTTTTGTGTCAGTAAAATAATAATAAACTTTATTTATATCCCCCCCCCCCCAATAAGAGATAGTAACTTATAGTTTTGCTAAGGACAAGGACGCCAGGCTGGATAATAAGGGTTAAGCCTTGGTCAGTTTGGTGTGTATCATTTAATCAAGGCTTTATGCTCTATTTTCATATGTTTACAACAACAATAACAATTTTTATTGATTAGCCAACTGTCCTTATCAAAAACAAACAATGCAGACATATGTTTACAGCAGAAGGTAACCAATTTATTACTGAAAATCATGCCACAAAAGTATTTGAATTTTTCCACCTGAGCCACACCTGGGCTCCTGATGGTCCCCCGTCTCACAAACAAGGGAATCTCTTTCCCCCTCGTGGATAGATTTCCCTTTATGGACCTTCCTATGGATAATATGAACCATGGACACTGGGGGAAGGTAGTTGGGTTTACTCTCTGTGTTATGATTTCTATATTTTCATATTTTCTCCTGTATTTCTATATTTCCCTTCATGTATTTGACCTTGCCCTGACCCTTTTGCCCCCTTCCCCTCTCCTTGGGGGATATCTACAAGGAAGCTGCCCTGCCTCTGGATCAGGAAAAGACCCTTCTCTTTGGACATTCTTTGCACGGACAATAATCAAGGAAATCCTTTTGACTTCGGAGTTGGGCCACCATTAGGATTTCCGTTTGGCAGACTTTTTAATCATATAACAACGGGGGGGGGGGGGGGATGACCTTAGGAAAGTCCTCTTTTCCTCCAAGCCATTTTTCTTTCAAATCTTCCCACTAAGGATATCCACAAAAGCTCCCCCTTTGTGCCCTATCTGATTGTAAGAGGAAAACCCGGATTAAGCCATCAATGCTTATCACAGACCCATCTCAGGACTTCTCTGAGAAGTGGCTTCTCTGGAAGGCCGATCCCCAGCCTGTTGGGGTTCAGCCTGAGTTTGTACTTGAACCTGATTCTCTGTTTGTTCCTCCTGATGCTAATGAAAATATATTTACTGATGCTAATGAAAATGTACCTCTTGATGCCAATGCTGCTGAAATTAGTGAGGAAGAAACTTCTGTAGGTTTGGAAAATGCCAATGTTCCTGAAATTAGTGAGGAAGGAACTTCTGTAGATTTGGAAAATGAAAGTACCAGTGTTCATGAGAATGTTTCAGAGGGAAGCCATGACCTTTCACTCCCTTCTGCACCTGGTAACTTTAATGAGAACAGAAGGGGCCAGATTTGGCAAGACAGAAGTAAATCACACAGCTTGCGTAGGTCTTCCAGATTAAAAGAAATACAAACAATGGCTTCAAAGCAGAGGGGCGATTCACGGAACCAATTCTTCGGCTTTAAGTGCCTTCCGCCGGGCTGACTTTCTCAGTTCAGGCATCGTTTCAGATTGATGAAGACCTTGGCAGTTCTCCCGGTTTCCCTGGCCATGGTCTTGAAAAATTTCTAGGATATCAAGCACGGTTAGTGGATTGCTAACAGGTTCCAGTATTTTACAGTGTGGCTTTGGGTTTTGTTTTGTCCATTTAAATTCATGTTTGCTGATTTTGCTGTGGCTTTTGACTTGCATTTTTCCTTTATTTTGTAACAAAGGATTGTTTTTCACAGTCAAGTGTGGTGGATAGTTATCTTAGGGCCTCGTTCCCTGCTCTGGATTGCAACACAGCCTCAATAAGCCTAAGGACATTAAAACTCCATAATCCACTCCAGAATGCATTGTTTCCCTTCATCCCGCCTCCCTCCCTTCTGATTCGCTGGAGCGTCGAGGCAGCAGGAGCCTCCTGATAGGCTCTGGCGCCCCGTGAAAGCCCTGTGATTGGCCCTCATGCATGGCGGACTGCCAAGCCTCCTCCCAGCTGTTTGTGCGACAGCCAATCCCCTTCGAGCTGGGTGGGAAGGGGGAGCGGGAATTTTGAAACTCATAACTCTGTATTTTCTATAAAAATGGCCTTTACTTCTGTAACCACATGCTCTGCTTGGCGAATGATTGCCACTCTGCATCGTTTTCAGCTGAATCGCTAATAAACATCTCGGTGGTACTTCCTTCAACTTGGTGAGACTCTTTATTGGGAAAAATCAGGGATTGGGTGCTTCTCTCTGTCTCGCCAGGGTAACAAACTCTTTAATTAGTCTGATTGACTCCTAAATTCCTGCTCTATAACAAAGGTAGGACTAAAACATTGCAGCCAGTGTCAGGAATCTCCAAAAACTAATCAGGGTCAACAGAAGCACAATGTGGATATTTAAAGGAGGGGTAACCGCATAGACCTATAGCAGCAAATAATACTTGTCCACCCAGAATGCATAACGAGGAATTTATTAAATTGTGATGCAAGAATCCTTTCGACAACATATGATTTGGCTTCAAACATGGCAACCTGATTGCTCCGTACGGTCCTGGTCCTGGTCCAGCTCCTTTCCACAGGAATCATCAGGAAATGGTAATGACGTTATTTAAAAAGGGCCTTCGACATGTTCCGATGTATCCACATTCCATAGGACGTGTGCAGCAAGGATGGTGGGAAAATAATACTTTCTATGTTGCGCTGAACCAAAAGCCAAAGAAAGAAGAAAGTTAAGTATTATCACTTTTGGAAAAGTTTGGCAGAGGCAATGTCATCGGCAGAGTGGCTCAAGGTACATCTACACTGGGTATTTGTAGGTTTTTTTCGGGCTATATGGCCATGTTCTAGAGGCATTCTCTCCTGATGTTTCACCTGCATCTATGGCAAGCATCCTCAGAGGTAGAGAGGTCTGTTGGAACTAGGACAATGGGTTTATATATCTGTGGAATGGCTGGGGTGGGGCAAAGAGCTCTTCTCTGCTGGATCACTCCCAAGCTGCGAACCTGCGTCTTCAGGGGGAGTGGAACCCCGTCTAACACAGGCTGTAACCCTATGCCCTGTTTGGCCTTGTGACTGACCAGGAGGACCTCTGTCTTGTCTGGATTTAGTTTCAATTAAGGCTCCGGAGAAGCACTCACTTGGCCAGCAAGTGAGAAGTCAAAGGTGCCAAAGGTCAATGCAATGCTTTCATGTTTGTTCTCATCCAGACCGTCACAGCGGCCAAGCATCGGTTCGGGTCCTGGGTGGGAAGGAGTGACAGAGTTGATGTCATCTGCGTACAGATGACACCGTACCCTGAAACTCCGGATGATCTCCCCCAGCGGCTTCATGTAGATGTTAAACAACATGGGAGACAGTATTGAACCCTGAGGAACCCCACAAGACAATGGTTGTGGGGTTGAACAGGTGTCTCCCAACAACACCATCTGGGTACGACCCTCCAGAAAGGACTGGAGCCACAGCAGAACAGTCCCTCCAAGGCCAATTCCAGCAAGGCATCCCAGAAAGATTCAGTGGTCTTTGGGACACTTCCAAGGGGTTTTATTGACCAGGAAAGTGAGGTTTTTTGGGGGGGGGGGCTCTTGTCCCCAACTCACCTGCAGGCTGTGGAAGAGAGACCCAGCGGTTCTGCTGGTGAAACCCACGGTGTTCAAGGCTTTGTGGGCAAAGACCTCGGGAGATATCTTTGGAGTCCAGAATGTTATGTGCCTGGCCATATAGGTGTCGACAACGAGTGGAAGGATGCTCTGAGGAGGGAAAAGGAGGCCCAAGGGAAGGACAAAGGTGCTTTCACTCTCTCGAAAAGGGAAGGACGGGAGGTCAAGTTCCAAAGATGGACCCAAGGACAGAGGCAGGATGAAGGCAAAGGGTTGGTAGAGACAAAGCTTGGTGCTTTAGAAAAAGAGGAGGAAGAGACAAAGCAAAATAAAATGAAGGAAGAGGAGGAAGAGGAAGAAGAGAAGAAGAAAGAAGAAAAGGAAGAGGAGAAAAGAAGAAGAGAAGAAAAAGGAGGAGGAGAGAGAAAGGAAGAATAGAACGAAGAGAAGAAAAAGAAGATGAAGGAAGAAGGAGGAGGAGACAAAGGAAAATAAAATGAAGGAAGAGGAGAGGAGAAGAGGGAAGAAGAGAATGAAAAGAAGAAGAAGACAAAGGAAGAGGAGACAAGAAGACGTGAAGAAAAAGGAGGAGGAGAGAGAAAGGAAGAATAGAACGAAGAGAAGAAAAAGAAGATGAAGGAAGAAGGAGGAGGAGACAAAGGAAAATAAAATGAAGGAAGAGGAGAGGAGAAGAGGGAAGAAGAGAATGAAAAGAAGAAGACAAAGGAAGAGGAGAAAAGAAGACGTGAAGAAAAAGGAGGAGGAGGAGAGAAAAAGGAAGAAGAGAACAAAGAAAAAAGAGGAAGGAAGGAGGAGGAGGAGAAGGAAATGGACAGAAGAAGAGAGAGAGAGAGAAGGAGGGAGAAGGAGGAGGAAGGAGGAGGAGGAGGAGGAGACAAAGGAAAATAAAATGAAGGAAGAGGAGAGAAGAAAGAATAAGACAATGAAGCGAAGAAGAAGACAAAGAAAGCGGAGAAAAGAAGAGTGAAGAAAAGGGGGAGGAGGAAGGAGAGAAAAAGGAAGAAGAGAACAAGGAGAAGAAAAAGATGAAGGAAGGAGGAGGAGGAAATGGACAGAAGAAGATAAAAAGAGGAGGAAGAAAGGGAAGGAAGAGAGGAGAAGAACAAAGCTAAAGAAGACAGAGTAGGACAAAAGGAAAGAAGAAGAAAAGGGAGATGAAGGGAGAGAGGCGGAGAAAAGGGTAGAAGATGAGGAACAATAAGAAGAAGAAAGAGACTGAGGGGAGGAGGCAGAGCAAGAAGAGGGGGAAGAGGTAGCAGTGGTAGAAGAAAAGAAGAAAAAGAAGACAGAAGAGGAGGAGGGAGAAGAGGAGGAAGAGAGGAGGAGGAGGGGGGAGGAGGAGAGGAGGAGGAGGAGGAGAGGAGGAGGAGGAAGTGGAGGAAGAGGAGGAAGTGGAGGAGGAGGAGAAGAGGAGGAGGAGGAGGAGAGGAGGAGGAGGAGAAGAGGAAAAGGAGGAGGAGGAGCAGGAGAGGAGGAGGAGAGAGGAGAGAGGAGGAGAAAGAGGAGGAGAGAGAGGAGGAGAAGAGGAGGAGAGGAGGAGGAGGAGGAGAAGAAGGAGGAAGAGGAGGAGGAAGGAGGGAGGAGAGGAGGAGGAGAAAGAGGAGGAGGAGGAGGAGGAGGAGAGGAAGAGGAGAGGAGGAGGAAGAGGGAGGAGAGGAGGAGGAGGAAGAGAAGGAGGAGAAGGAGGAGGAAGAGGAGGAGGAGAGAGGAGGAAGGGAGGAGGGAGGGGAGGGACCCTGCAGAGAGGGTTGAAAGAGCATTTCAGTTGCAACATACCTGTACAATGATGCCTTTAGACCTGTATTCCACGTTTAACACCTGCGTGAATACATCCATGAAGGCCTGAAAGGAGAAGCAAGAGAAGTATCATGAGACAGTGAACGGTCCACATGGGTCTCTTTGAATGGCATTTTCCCTCCCAAATAGCTTGCAGTGAACCCACATTGAATTTAAGAGTGCTGGGAAACATGAGAATCAGGAATGGGGTCTCTGAAGCAGAGTAATCGATTTGCAGGGCAGAAGCTGAACCGCCCAGCTTGGTGTTAGTCTCACCTTGCTGGCGCTGTACACTGCGGCTAAGGGAGTGGGTTTCCAGGCGGATCCAGAGCAGATGTTGATGATGATCCCCTTCTTCCTACGAAGAGAAACATAGTAGGGAGTTAGAGGTCCCGTTCCCCCTGAAGCTGTCCACGTCTAGCTACAGACTCTCCAAAACGCTGCAAAAGTTCAAAACAAGCCTGCGCAGAGCCCAAATTCAATGCAATCACTGTCCCATGGTGCCTCTTGATACTTCCCTGTTGACCTGGTTGGACCACAACACCCAGCATTCCTCGCCTCACATGGTTGGCTCATGTTTAACTTGTTGTCCACGCGGATTCCAAGATCTTTTTCACATGAGACTGTGAGAGTCGTTCAGCAGTGGAACTCTCTGCTCCCGAGTGTGGTGGAGGCTCCTTCCTTGGAGGCTTTTAAACAGAGGCTGGATGGCCATCTGTTGGGGGTGCTTTGGAATGCATTTTTGCTACTTCCTGGCAGAATGGAGGTTGGACTAGATGATGGCCCACCAGGTCTCTTCCAACTCAAGGATTCTATGATTCTACTCTGTCGTCTTCTGGTTAGACCTCCCTTAGAGACCTCATGGGCCATCCAGAAGCAGGAATATTGCATTCAAAGCACCCCTGACAGATGGCCATCCAGCCTCTGTTTAAAAGCTTCCAAAGAAGGAGCCTCCACCACACTCCGGGGCAGAGAGTTCCACTGCTGAACGGCTCTCACAGTCAGGAAGTGCTTCCTCATGTTCAGATGGAATCTCCTCTCTTGTAGTTTGAAGCCATTGTTCCGCGTCCTAGTCTCCAGGGAAGCAGAAAACAAGCTTGCTCCCTCCTCCCTGTGGCTTCCTCTCACATATTTATACATGGCTATCATATCCTCTCTCAGCCTTCTCTTCTTCAGGCTAAACATGCCCAGCTCCTTAAGCCGCTCCTCATAGGGCTTGTTCTCCAGACCCTTGATCATTTGAGTCGCCCTCCTCTGGACACATTCCAGCTTGTCAATATCTCTCTTGAATTGTGGTGCCCAGAATTGGACACAATATTCCAGGTGTGGTCTAACCAAAGCGAAATAGAGCATGGGGAGCAGGACTTCCCTAGATCTAGACACTAGGCTCCTCTTGATGCAGCCCACAATCCCATTAGCTTTTTTTGCCGCCACATCACATTGTTGGCTCATGTTCAACTTGCATTTTGTACCAACTTGATCTTTGAAATTGTTGTTTTTAAATTATTTTTAAAATTGTGTTAGATTTTAGCCTGTTCTTGCAAGTCGCTCCGAGCCCCAGGAGAGTGGCGGCATATACATTTGAATAACTAATAAATAAATAAACTCCAGTGCATTCCTATCTAGCAGTGCATTATCTATCTACCAAAAAAAATGGGCTTCGGTGGATCGGAATAATAAGAGTTGCAATCCCACAACATCTACTATAGCTTTCCCCCTTGAGATGGAAGGCCCTCTTTGTCTCCTACCTGGCAACCATTTGAGGAAGGATGGCTTCTGTCATCTGCGAAGAAAAGAGTAATCTCAGTTGAGTTCTCCAAAAAAAGTACGTCCCACAAACCAAAAGGAAACCTGGTTGCATTCCACCTACCTTCACGGTCGAAAGGATGTTGCAGTTCACCAAGTTGCCAATGTACTAAAAGGAAAAGGGGGGAAAATATGGTTTGGTATTTGTTTCATTTATCCAAGTGATGCGGAGAGAGTGGAAGAATAGATATTTATTTATGCACTAGCTGTACCCGCCACGCGTTGCTGTGGCCAACCTTCCCCCTATCTCCCCTTCTTTCCCTCCTTCCTTCACTCCCTGTTTCCTTCCTTCCTTCCC